GAAATTCTTTAGTTTTCATGTGTGTTTGTTGCAGGCCAACTTTAGTATCACAAACACTTTTGTGAGTGAATTGATACTGATTGCGAGCTAAAGACTGTGTAAAGAAAGTGTAATGTGAGAAGTATTGACCGAATCCGCACGTAATATTGAAATTCGTTGAGCTGCCTTATTTGCATCGATTTCCAGACTCGACTGCTGCAGTCTGTTAAACTGGTCACATTTGCCGACTTTAAGGTAGCCTTGAAACGCAGAAATCGTGTTGTAAGTGCTGTATCGCGATGAGCTTAGGAAATTCTCGATATGATCAAGTTTTGTTTTCTTTTGCGAAACACAGTTTCACTACTTTTGCGGCTGACCAATCAAATTCAAACTTTTGTTGGTAATGCATCACTCCGGTGAATTGTGTTTTACAAAAATAAGATGCCAGAGCCGCCGCATTATCGGCTGCAGCGAAGAAATTCTTGGTGCGTGCGGGAACAGAAATTCAAAATGTTGCTCAAAAATAAAAAAAAAATGATTGTCCAAAGCGAATTAAGAACTTCATATTTTAAAAATAGTGTTCTTCCATTAAAAAATTGGTTGAATCTAGAGAACGCCACGGCCATTCCATTCTTGCACATTTCGAACCCCGTGACCATGACCTGACACTGAAAACCTATTTGACGAAATTTCCGACTGTTAAACTACTAAATTAAAAAAATGCCCCCACCTGCGTCAGGCGTTTTTTTTCCCTAAAAGAGCAAAATGCAGAAACCAAAACTGGTCTACATCTCAGCGGAACGTAAAGCAGGGCAAAGTATCTTCAATTTCTAGAACAGTTATCTGAATGGGGCTATTCCTTATTGTAAGATGAGCTAGAAAAGGCAGTTTCTAATTAAAATGAGCCAAGTGCAACTGGTTTGTTCAAAGTGAGCCACATTCAATAAACCAGCTCTGTGCCAACAAACGTGATCAAAACAATCAACATGGTCCCACTTAAAGGTTTAATTTGTGCTGTAGTTGCTTTGTTATCGTGTTCACGTTCCACATTTGTTTTTTTTTTTGCGCGAGTAGGCACTTACTGAAAGATATGATGTCTAATAACAAACGTCGATAGGGCAGAGAAAGGCTCACTTGCCTACTTCTGTTTGAATCTTAGTGATTATTTTCGCCTAAAGTGCAACAGTATCTCCTACTCAGTTCACTACAACACAATATAATTCAAATAAAATTGGTATGCTACAAAAATATAGGGCGTCTATCTATTCCCTAAAGCAGCAGAGGTGGTCATAATTGGCATGGCATGAAACTAACTGGAACACCTTTTAGGGCCTTCAATTGATTCCAGGAACAAAAAAAAACAGTGATAATAGTCGCCAATAGCGCCCCTTTTGCCTAGAAGGACCACTCCTCCTCAAACCTAGTAATCGCCATTACGCCAATGCGTCGAAGCATGACAGCGACGGAAAATGCTAGAAATGTCAGCGATTTGTAGATGTTACTTTTTCCGGTGCTCATTTATTTCTCGCTGTATTTTATTTGCTTTCTAAGATTAAAAGCAGGTATGTTAGCGGATATATTGACGTGAAACCACATCCACACACCTCTTTCAATGTCTAGCCACTTAGTTGTGCCACACCTTGGCGCGGCAACAGCGGACGCTGTATGAAGCTTTAGCATTGCTTTACACTGGGGTTCCATGTCTTGAGTAAAAAAATCAAGCACAAATAAAACCTAGATATTCTCGCCTGGTAGAAATTTAGGTGCAACTATAGGGTAAGCAACTTCATATGTGGTGTTATTTCTTGATCCGCCAGAAGATCAAGGCCAATATCTACCGCATGCACAGGTGGCGTTGGAGAGGTACGTCAAGAAGTGCGTTTCTTTGGGCTAGCTGGTCTCTCATTGCAAATCAAATAAGCAGCGCGAATAAAACGTAGCGCCGTGAACGAACACATGGAACGAGGAGTGAGAAACAAGTTAAGGTTTTATTGCCTCAATGCCATTGCGTTGAGACAATAAAACATTGAGCCAGCGCTCCTCCTTCGCTATCAAAGTAAGTCAAAGCCTAACTAGTCCCTCAAGCGTTTGCCAGCTTACCCGTGAGAATGACGGCCGAGGCAATGTTGAGGTAGCGTCGCGGACGTTTCGTCGAGCAGCGGAGCACACGGGCCTGCCTGGCCGCACATCGGGACTTCGCTGAGGTTGAAGTGGCAAAACGCGCAGATCGTGGCCCGTGGTGCGTGCTGCACCTGGGCTGTTCTTTCTTCTTCTACCACCTTGATAATGACGATGATGATGATGCTCTTTAGAATATTGGCACCTACCCACTCAGGGGTAATCACGTTGATGGTTGTGATTATGTATAATGATGTTTCATTTATGGATGGAAACAATACTAAGAAGAGGGACATAGGCCAAGAAATAGAAAATTGAAGACTTTAATTGAGGATAAGAGAATCTGAGAGAGAAACATGAAATAGTTATAAATAAGAAACAAAGTGGCGATAAAAAATTGAGAACAATTGTGTGTGAGAAATGCGACGTCTGAGGATTAGGTGCACAAACAATTCATTTTGAGGAAATCACCCTAATTGACGAGAAAAAAAATTGGAATCTCTCGAATTATTAAAATAAATAACCGAACACAATGAATCAGCGGTTACTGTTGCCTTAAACGAAGGCAGCGGCACCAAGTAACCAAATTTCTCGAGAACGTGTTGCTAAGGCCACCTTCTGCCATGCAGCATCAACGCATGTTCACTTCTAATTTGAATATTGCCGGGAGAAGAAAACGAAATGTGCTTCGATTTCATGGGGAAATGAGCACATCAGAAACACCTTAGAATCAACCTTATATCTAAGGAAACATTCAAATGCTCAACTTCGAAATGATGGACTACCGGAGCAAACTTAGAACTGTCGGTATGTACAATTTTCCTCTGTCACTTTGCATGCAGTTCTCGACCGTAATGTTTATTGAGAGACAACAAAAATGCAAACAAGGAAAGCGTGGCGTGCGTTATTCGTTGTAAATATGATAGAAATATGAAGAAATAAAGCAGAAGAAGAAATTGGAGCCGATGGGTAACAAACCTGCAACCTTTGATTATCACGTCCGATGATTAATGATATGAGCTACGGTGGCATTCATCTTTACGGCCTTTTTTATCAGTATTCATGTGTTCATGAAACCCTGGGAGTGTTAGTCAGCGCTACTGGCAGCCATGGCTGCGAGCGTGGCACACCCTTGTTTAGGCGAAGTTTGCAAGTTACCGGTTTGAAGGTTGCATTCTCGATCTCCGCTGGCAGTGAGTGCTCTTTGCGTGGTTCTTAATTCTTCCTCATTTTTGATCATGAATACTCCTACCATTTTCTGTACACTTCTTGGCATGAACGTTTGTTCGTTTTTATTGAGCTTCTCTTTAACATAGAAAGAGCACTCCGAAATCCCTTCTCTATCGCTCTGTGATTTCGAGAATCTTTTTCTTGCACACTAGATGACAACTAGGAGTTTTTGGCAACAGCTAGCTCGTAAAAAAAAAAAAACTAATCACGTGCTACACGGCACCAGAAGGTAAATCAACAGTGTTCCATGCGTGCCTTCATGGTCAGGAGCGGCGCTGAGTAACACTATGCGGTTTGCGTGCGCATAAATAACAGATAATTTGTACTCGCGGACGACCATCATCGTAGGTCAATTGGTAGTGTGTCCGATACATTGATCTAAGTTTGCAGGTTCAGTCCCTGCCAGCGATACATTGTCTTTCCATCTTCTTTAATTTGGTGATGTGTGGGATTTAACGTCCGAAAGCAACCAAATGAATATGAGAGACGCTGTAGTGGAGGGCTCTGGAAATTTAGACCACATGGGGTTTTTTAACGTGCACCCAAATCTGAGCACACGCCCCAATATTGTCCGCAAAAACGTCGCAAGGAGCAGGAGACCGAACATCTGGAATAGGAAGACGTAACGATTGCTCGACGTCTTGACTATTGAGTCAAGCTGGCTTATTATATGCGTAATAAAATTAACAAAATAAATATTGCATTGCCCTACATGTTGTGGGTAATTTGCGCCAAATATGTGAGAATATATATGTTATGCATACTTAAACCTCTAAAAGCTAACAAATAAAATTAGCATAGTTTTCTTGGCTGTTGGGTTTGATTCACTGCCTTGCTGATACTCACTGGTGCAATTATTCAATCCCTCTGTGACGACCCTCTTTCCCTATCTCCACCATTAATTGATGTATCTTGTCGACTGCGCAAGCGTTGTTGACCTGCCACTGAACCAATATCATTTATCGAAGGGATGAAGTGATAGAATCGTGGGCACCGATTTATTCCTGTTAAACGCGGAGAAATATTCACACGCGCCTTTATTGTTCCCACTTTTGTTTGATTTAGTTTCCGCCCACAAACCTGGCTATGGAATGCTCAGCTCAAACTACACAGTCAGCGAAGGTTCGCGATCATTGTTCGTGAAGGTTCGCGACCAGCAAGACGCGAACACTCGAGATTATTCCAAAGTTTGCGCAAAGACCAGTGATCACTGATATATTCAACATTATCACTATAATTCGCGACGCGCTCGGCCACTTGTCAGTTGATCGACGGTTGACGCTCCGTTCGCCGCTCTCAGTGCGAGTGTATTGCTCACTTTACTTGGCCACAAGCTCAGCCCAATAAACTGTTTAACCTGAAGACCCAGTCTTCTCCCTTCAAACTTGAAGCGCCTAGAACCTTTCCAAGCCACCAGAGTGTTTAGTTTCGGATACCCTCTTTGTGTGTGTGGTTTGTACCCCACCTCGGGCCTCAGATGCTGTTGCTCCTTTGGTTTTGAATGTAGATACAACAGTTTTATATAACAATCCCTAGCTACCAACCAGCCAGAGCAGACCTAACAGGCAAGCACGTACTCGGGCACATTCCAATGGTTAAGAATCTGCATATTCGGGAAAAGATCTAATAAGACGTCTACAAATATCACAATTTCGTTTTTTTTGTTTCTGCAGAGTGTACGTGGACGCCGTGCTTAATCACATGACTGGTCATTTTCAATTAAAAAAAGGCACAGCGGGCAGCAGCTTCAAGTACGATGAATACAGCTACCCTGCCGTACCGTATGGCCCCGATGACTTCCACACAAAAAGGCATTGTGGCAGCAAGTCCGGTGGTATCGATAATTACGGAGACGTAAATCAGGTGAACAAAATGCGAAGCTTAAGCTGTCTATATTAAGACAATACAGGGCGTTCAGCGAAAACTGCTTCTAGCCTTTAACAATGCATAAAATGTATATATTGCACATTTAGCAAGTACTTCCTGCAAAGATGTGTTGGTTGTTGTTTCAAATATCAGTAGCCACACACAATCCGCAGTTGTTTTTTTTTGCACTCTATACCTGTTTTCTACGATGAACGCAATACGCTCGTCATCAAAGGAAGCCGTAACAGCCTTACTATATTTGCAATCTGCGAATAGGAAATTCCAAGTAAGTCATACGCTGCACGTGTCCCCGTAAGAACGAACAGGTGGTCCTGAACACCATTCACGGTTTCCATTATATTTGCATTAGATAGACATTTCTGACTCGCAAGAATATTTCTTAAGTTATCCTTGAAAAAATATGCTGCATACCTCTAGAAGTATACATGTTGGCCGCTATAGCACTTTGCCACCAGTTTCCACTTTCTGAACTCTAAGTAAACTTAGCAAAAAATTGTGCATTTGTTGTTCACGATAAAATTCTACAATAAAGATCCTATGAAATGCTACATTACTAGTATAATATTTGACTGTACAGCAGAAGGATTCTTGAGAAAATAATGCTAAAACACGGAATTGCCCGAAATACCTGTTGATTTTATTAATATGGGGGGTTTAAAGTTCTAAAACCAACATATGTTTGTGAGAGACGCCGTAGTGGAGGGCTCCGGAAATTTTGACCACCTAGGGTTCTTTAACGTGCACATCTGAGCAATCGGGTCTACTGCATTTTCGCCTCCATCGAAAATGCAGCCGCTGCAGCTGGCATTTGATCCCGTGACCTGCAGGTTAGCAGGCGAATACTTAAACCACTAGACCACCGCAGTGGGGCACCGAAATACCTGTGATACAGGCATTTGTTGTTGTGGGAAATTTAAGCTGGTAACATGAAAAGTAGGAGGATACTAACTGGTCTGTGCGTCATTTGCGCTTGAGCATTACGTGACTTTTTACATTATCAGAATCGAAAAAAGTCTGCATAGATTAACAATGGTGTTTGAGTTCAAGAAGCTTTCAAAATATTCGTTTCTATTTTTGAGTACCTAAAGGGCGTTGTCTACCATGATGAATTCAAGAACGTTGCCTACCATACTATTCAAGAAAAAGTCTTAAAATTTCTATAGCAAGTAATACGTTATATAACGCATGACATATGCCTAACTCATCCTAGCGCTCGCGAACCTGATCGCTATCCACCACGACATTTATAGCGAGAAAGACGGGGCAGCTAGTCGACTCGGTTGTGAAGATGGACTTAAAGAGACGAAAATATAGAACTAAGCTCTATATGACCTGAAATTAATTACAGTAAGTGATTATGCGCGATGAGTTTAACAACAGGCAAGGCGTTCGAGCTTTGAAACGTTGCACAGCCTCTTCAGCAATCCATGTAAGAACAAGGTGCATGACATCTGAAGTAAAAATTTCAGCGACTACTTGAAGATTGAAAGAAGGGTGCAGATAATGGTAGTGTGAAATTATTAGGTTCCTTCTGACTGTTAGCCTAAACTATTTCTAACAACCTGCATTCATCGTATAGTTCAATGTCACACCACTGTGTTAAATAAAAAGATACAAGTGCTGTCTGAAAGAACACAGTGAAGGGATAGTTGGTAATGCATAACTCAGAACAGTAGTGCAAAGAAGCACATGGACTGCGGGACATCACGACGGAACACAGACCTAACTATCCCGTTAGCGCCCCGCCGCGGTGGTCTATAGTGGCTAAGGTAACCGGCTGCTGACCTGCACGTCCCGGAATCGAATCCTGGCTGCGGCTGCTGCATTTTTGATGAAGGCGAAAATGCTGTATGCCCGCAAGCTTAGATTTGTGTGCACGTAAAAGCACCTCAGGTGGCCGATGTGTCTGGAGCTCTCCACTACGGCGCCTCTTATAATCAAGTGGTGGCTTTAGAACGTTAAATTTCACATATCAATCAAGCAACCAGTTAGCGTGTGTCACAGATCCCGTTTATTAGGGAGGCGATCGCCGGGCTAATTCCAAAGGCCAAAATATCGGCCCCCCGAACCGCACCACGAAAGCGTGAACAATTTAGAAGGGGTCCTATTTGGCACGCCAGCGGACGCTGGCTGTGGCCCAAAGAACAAGTCAGAGCCGAAAGTTGATATACAAAACAAAATTATATTCTCAATTATGGCAGAGAAAAACGATACACAAGTATGCACACTCGACAATAGTTGAATACAAAATGTCACAAATCAAACAATGTACTACAAAGTACAATCAGCCACACTCGAAACAACAGACACAGACAACAATACGCACTACAGTGCAGTCGCTTGCATCGAACAACCAAGACACTTAAAGACTAAAGAGTTAGAAAACTTATTCAGTTCAAAGTTCTCGGAACTAAAGTCTGAACGATACTCTTCCGAGAATCACTCACTCAAAGTCCAGCGTTGTGTCATTCCGCTGCCCCGAAGTTTGTCTTCCAGGAAACCTTGCGTCTTCAATTGGCCACTCTCCAAGCTTCAACCTTCTTCGTCGGAAACACGTCGGCTTCCCACACGCAGCTGTTGCCACGCGTCTTCGCTCGATAGCGGTAGACACACACTCTTGCCTGTAGCTCGAGTCTTCACCCCTCAGGTGAAAATTCTGTTCTTCTCCTCCTTTGTCACGGAAGACAAAAGGCTTCGCCCACAGGGCGGTACACACTACGCACTCTGGCGCATACCTTCTTCTTCTCCTGCTTTGTCACTATGAACAAAACCTTCACCGACAGACGCGGCGGGATACCCTACGCACTCTGGCGTTAACTTCCTTCTTCTGCTGATCTCCCATCTCCGCTGCTCGGTTAAATACCTTCCGCGCGAGATTCCAGAAAGTTCTCATCATTTCATCGGCGCGATACGCAGCGATGGCTGGGGAGAGGGCGAGACGGTTCGAAGGCCGTCCGCGACGGATGACGCAACCCGGTATCACCACGCCCCTTTCCATCTAGAATTTTCCAGGGCTTGCTCGGCCGCCGATGTGGGGTGAGGAGGTTGGTCGGCGAACCTACACTTCCGAGAGGGGAGAAGGACGCGCGCCCGGGGAGTCTGTAGATGCTTGTTTTTTTTATCGTGGACCTCTCGGCGCTTCGTCACAAGAATTTGGCGGCACGCCCTTTTTTGAGCGCTCGTATTGTGACAGCGTGGCTTGCGGTACAACACCTGCTTGTGACGCAGACGGCCCAGTTAAGCTGGGCCGTGTGCGTATAAGGTAATCTTTTCTTTATATTTATTTTTATTTCCTTGCACCACAAGAAATTGGGAGTGATTTTTTTTTTCTTTCGAAGCAGTGTCAAGCAACAGCGTGACCTTGAGTCAGACGAGTTGTTTGTCACGCAGCTGCCGGGGTTCTTCTTTCACTGAAACTGAGTAATTTTAGCGCGATAGCGTAAAAGATCTCGTTTCTCAGAAATGTCAGCGTGGTTATTGACGGCATTAATTGTAAGCAAAAAATCGTCTTGTGCATTACAGAAAAATTTAGATAAAAGCAAGTAAAATAAGCAATAAAAATAGTCAAGTCTGAATGATGATTGAACCCATGGCGTACGCATGGCATGTAGGTGTTCTAACACAGAAGCATGATCTTTCTTATGCTTGTTTATTGTCTTTGCTACACAACACAGAATACAATGAAAACTGTGAATAAAACAACCCGATACACTTTGTTCCCACGGTGGCATGGAAGTCCACTAGCATCATGGTGGTATATACACGATAGCATGATGTGTATTGAAATCGCTCGGGAATTAAACACCATATGAATGACATGCTTGGAAGGCATCTTCTTAACCCTTCATGTATTGCGTGCCAGAAGCGTGGAATCGCGCAAGGTGTTAAACCATGCGAATCGAGCAAGGAGTGACTGTTTTAAAGGCGGCCCATACATGACAAAGTTCTCACGATTACCTAATCCTCATATACAGCAGAACCGTCAACAAAAAGTGAACAGCTTCGTAGGGTCACGTATTGCCTTACGGACAACTAGTGGGGCCTTTGCTGATTCACAAAAGAAATAGTTATGCCGCATTGTGCACCTAGCAACCGTGCTTTCAGTAGATATTCAACGGTACTTTGAAACGACCAGTGCTGCGCTCACAGTCGTTCGTTTTCTTAAGAAATCGTTGAGGCATGCACCAAGAGCAGAAGCAAGCTAGCAGTCCAGGAGTCGATGCGCACGAAGCCCGATAACAATATCACGATCTGCTCTTAAGGACGAGGCAGAAGCATCTTCCAATTTTAATGATTTTTTTCATCTTTATGGATCTTTTGATCATGCACCCAACTGTTGGTTTTTCACTGGCAACCATCTACGTTGATGCCGACACCAGAGTTTCTACGAAACAAGCCGTTTAACACTATCGCGTTTGTCACAAAACGAGCCCTCAAAAAGGGCGCGCCACCAAATTCTCGCGACGAAACGCCAGAGTGATGCCGCGAGGTCAACGATAAAAAAAAGAAAACGAACATCCAAAGACTCACCGGGCACGCGACTCTCTCCCTCGGAGGCGTGGGTTCGCCGACGAACCTCCTCTCATCAGCGCCCGAGCAAGCCCTCGAATGTTCTAGATGGAAAGAGGCGGGGTGATGCCGGGTTGCGTCATCCGTCGCGGACGGCCTTCGAACCGTCTCGCCCTCTCCCCTGCCTTCGCTGCGTATCGCGCCGACGAAATGATGAGAACTTTCTGGAATCTTGCGCGGAAGGTATTTAATCGAGCAGCCGAGATGAGAGATCAGGAGAAGACGGAAGTTAGCGCCAGAGTGCGTAGGGATTCCGCCGTGTGGTCGGCGAAGGTTTTGTCCTTAGGGACAAAGAAGGAGAAGATGGGGATTCCCACCTGAGGGGTGAAGGCTCGAGTTACAGGCAAGAGCGTGTGTCTACCGCTATCGGGCGAAGACGCGTGGCAACAGCTGCGTGTGTGAAGCCG